TTTCTTTCTTTCTTTCTTTCTTTCTTTCTTTCTTTCTTTCTTTCTTTCTTTCTTTCTTTCTTTCTTTCTTTCTTTCTTTCTTTCTTTCTTTCTTTCTTTCTTTCTTTCTTTCTTTCTTTCTTTCTTACATTCTTCTTCCGTCCCAATAATTATCCATTCTCAACAATGACTATAATGGGTATAATGAGTATACAGTAATGACTAGCTGATTAAGTTTAAAACAAGACAACAGACACAATGACCAATCAATACCATGTGGTCTAACGAGACTTCACCCTTGAAGTTCAGGAAGTGACGTCAGATTAAAAAATCAACACACTGAGATGCTTACTGCGAATCATTCAAAATGGGTTCCACTTGGGCGTTTTTATATTAGAATTCAGGGGGGAAAAAAAAAGAAAAAAAGTTTCGCGCCATGCTGAAAGCGACATATTTAAACGCGAGGGTAGGCCAGGGGGAAAAATAATACCCATGACCACCCTCGGTCATCGACCCAGTTTTCGACCAGAAGTCAACCAGTGGGTTTATGCAAGTTAGTCATGAACGTAATGCTTGAGCTGTGTGCTGTGTATTCTAGACACCTTGACAGCGAGAGCATTCTGTTTTACAGCAACTATCAAGACAAACGCCGTTCCACGATGATCCAGTGGCTGGTGTTATTTCAAACCTCTATAAATATTCCTATTCATAAGGAAGACGTAAGTTGTATACTGGAACAACCTCTAAAACTCAACACCGAGTTCTCCCTATAGTCTAAAAAGGGGGGGGGGGGGCAGTTCAACTCATCAGCTGAAGTTGAAGTGAAGAAATCCGTGTGTATGTTAGTAAGTGCCATGCCCAATCCTTTTATAAATACAAATTATAAATACGCACGTCCGTTATGATATACTTATGAGCCTCATTTGAGTGCTCTACAGAAAACTGTTTCTGAGTTTTCCCTGTAAACGCTATTGTATTTAATGATCTGTTCAAATGTTAAAGTCAACAACTAAACGCAGCTTGTGCTGTGAGTGAACGTGGATTGTTTTGGTGTGTGTGACCTGTCGGGGCTCTCTGTGCTCACGGATATAGGACTCGAGTCAGGGGAAGATTCGCACAAGGGAAGCCCTTCGTCGGTTCCCAGGCATCCCATTGGATGTCGCGAGCGCACGTGACGCTCCAAGTCCCGCCTCCTCACGAGAACTTTCCCGCAATATTCACACCGATAAGGCGTTTCCCCTTGCGCGTGAAGACGCACGTGCTTATTCAAATTACTCGGGTCACCGAAAGGTCGGGAGCAAATTTTGCATTTCAGCGGCTTATACCCGTTATGCGTCCGCATGTGGATCTTCAAGCCGTACTTTCTAGAATATAGTTTCCCACAACACAGGCAGAGGTGCCCTTTCTTGGACTTGTTGGCGAAGTACGCTTGCGGAAGCATGTCCAACGGCTCTTTGTCCGAAGGCAGCGAGAAACTGTAAGGGTTGCCGTGTCGCAAATGTCTTACAGACGGAGACATTCTGGACGAGTGGGGATTGGATGCGGGCAGACTCCCGCAGTCCTGGAAGTCGTCCATCTGTGACGTCGTCAGTTGATACTCCCCATTGCAACCGACCCGGGACTCCATCAGCGCCGTGTAATGGTGGCTGGTCTGCAGAGATGTCTGCCCACCCAAAAGCTGGACGCTCAGCGGGTGGAAGTGGGGGGGAATCGTGGAGTAGCAGCCCGCAAGGGTCGGGTAGTCGAATGGGACCGCTATCGTTGGTGACATCATTCGCTGTGCGGCGAATATGTTCCACGAGTTCAAGCGGCTAGAGGAGTCGCCCCCGCTTCCGGAAAGGCCCTGTTTGACCCCATGCTTTACGGACAAATTCAACGCCGAGTTCTGATCCGTCGACGAATCTGGGGTCATGAGGACATCGTCTCCGGAAGTCTCCAGCTTGACATCACGCGACGACGACGGGAGGGTCCGGAAGGCCGATCTGTAGGGCGAATCGGAGTCGCGAGAGCCCGAGTTTGCCCAGCCCTGCTGGCGGAAGGACGTCGCCTGTTTTGGCGCTAAGGGAACCGCCGAATGCTTGACCCTCTTAACGTGCCTCCGTTCACCGCCGGGCCAGGCTGTGCTTTCTGGTCTCTTACTTATCGTTTGTAGCAGTTGGTGGAAGGGAACCAGAGATTCCGTCGTGGAGGTCGGTGCCGTGGCTGCTTGGCTGCACTGGAGAAAGATGTGTGCTTTGAGGATGTTGGGATGAGTGAACGCCGTGCCACATCCCGTGCACATGTAGCTTTGGTGACCTGTTTCGAAGAACAAAAAGCACTTATGCTAATAAGATCTCTTAATAATAAGAATAACATATATATATATATATAACAATATAACTATACATAACAATATTTATTTATAGTTGGTCAGTCGAAGTCGACTGACCGCGTAAATCACCGTAAATTCTAATTGTGATCTTAAGGGTGAGGGTGCGCAGATGGCTCATGAGGTTGATTCTGGCATGAACTTCTGTTGTGCAGTAAGCGCAGGGGATTGGTGGGACAAAATAATACATTCTAATCGCCTAACTATTTTTTCCGATTCACACAATATTTTTTATTTGAAAAAAAAACATTATAAATACACTGATATTTTGTTTTGTGGTCTTCTCAGGGATTAAAACCGTTTGGTGCATTGAAACTGAAGCTTAGACTCCTTCAACTGAAGTTTTTTTAAACGCGTATAAAGAAATCTATCACATATATCCTCTAACCTCTAATAGGAGAGAGGGTTAGAATGGGCACTCGCTTAGAAATACACAGTACGCAAAATGTGATATCTTACTACCTAATGTGAGATAGTGTCAGAATGGACATAGACATAAATTCACGGTATGCGTATGTGTTTCAAGTATCAGCTTACCTCTAATGTGAGACAGCGTCAGGATGGGCACGCCCAGCTCCCTGGCCAGCCCCTCCTCGTACCAGACCAGCAGCTGCTCGCCACGCCCTATCTCCCGCAGTGTACGTGCCACCAGGCCGTCCTCGCCACGGAGGAGCTCCAGGTTTTGTTCGTGCCTGTCCCTGGCGGATCGAACGCAAGTCGCCCATGCGTCGGCCATGACGTCATCAGAGTTCGCCTCCAATTGTTTATTGCGCCAAAACACCTGCAAAGGACCAGGTACTCAGTTTTAGCTGTTGACACTCTCAACGTTGTATTTTTTTTCTTTCTTCTTCTTATTTAACAGAGACATTGGGTGAGCTTAATATTTGCTAACAGGGTGCATCAGCAAAAACCCCAGAGGAAAACGGCTCAAAGGCAGACCTGGGCTTAGATGGATGGATGATTTTGAAAAAGATCTACAGCAGCTGGACATCAAAGAATATAGGAAAATAAAAGCATCAGTTAAGTCTGAATGGTCTGGAACGAAGTAGTGAGGCAAGCCAAAGCCCTACACGGGCTGTAGCGCCACAGGGATAGAGAATATTGCTTTAAAAAATATTTTAATCGAGAAAGGCTTTCGCGCCTTAGTGTCCAGGTAGATGTATTAAACGTCACGGTAATTTATCATTTTAACTTGGCTTTCAGAGCCCTGGAAAGTACCGAAAAAACTGCACCAGAGACCCAATGGCCGCAGGAACGGCCAGGAAAAAGATAAGAGGCCAGTACCTTCATGGGTGACCGCTACTGCTTGTTAATAATAAATGTATTTATCATAGCTGCTTTCACTTTGTGCTAGTAAAATTTAGGTCTAGGTTTCCCTGAATTCCATCTCCTACACATTCAGTCTAATGTTTCCCATATTCTACACATTCGATCTAATATATCCCGTATTCTACACATTCAATCTAATGTATCCCACATTCTTCACATTCAATATAATATATCCCACATTCAAGACATTCAATCCAATATATCCCATATCCTAAACATTCAATCTAATATATCCCACATTCTACACATTCGATCTAATATATCCCGTGTTCTACACATTCGATATAATGTATCCCATATCCTTCACATTCAATCTAATATATCCCATATTCTACACATTGAGTCTAATATATCCCATATCCTACGCATACAGTGTAATCAATCCCAATGTATACACATTTAGTTTAATATATCCTGTATTCCTGTATTCTAAACATTCAGTCTAATATATCCAATCTTCTCCATATTCAGTCTAATATATCCCATCTTCTACATTTTGACATTAATGTATTCCATCTTATACACATTTAGTCTATTGCATTCAGTCAATTATACCTCATTTCATACACATTCAGTGTATTATATCGCTGTTTGGCACATTCATTCTATGACAGCCCATCTTCTACACATTCAGTCTGATATATCCATGTTGAGACCCGTATATTACATCAACGAAGTCTTTCAAACTTGACAATAGCTTTAAAAAAAAAAATTTTTGTTTTTTTTGTTTAATGCTGACAACATTTTAGAGTACATAACGAGGCTATGAATTTCAATGAATGCGCGGACTCTGGCAAAGAACCCTGGAGTAATCTCCCTTCAATAGATCACCACCCAAATCTTGAAGACCTATTGTGCCCTTCGCCTGTAGCCTGACATTAAAACCCTAACCATGTTTTGCCAGTGCACCGCAGGCCATTACATCTTCCATGCATTTATATTGAAGTACTGGTAGGGGAGGAGGAGGGGGGGGGCCTGGTTTTATCCTAGGGAGTCTACTTTTCAATGGAGACCCTTCAACGACCGGCATCTCCCTATTGTCCCGACCGGCATCTCCCTATTGTCCCGACCGGCGTCTTTTTTGTGTGTGTCCAATTTTCATGTATTATTTTTAAAAACAGCAATCACCTCTCTAGTTCATATTCCTTAATCTTCTTACGTCCGCGCCCCTGGTCATGAATCGGCGCCTCTAGATAAGCCAATCAGTCAAGGGCCCTCGATAACGCCTCATAAATCACGGAGCCAAGGAGGCCTTCCCCTATCCTACTTCAGGAGGCCTAACTCCTCGGGTGAGTCGCTCTGCTTTGCTTTCTGTTCTTGCAAGCTCCGAAAACACAATGGCCTCGTTCTCGCGTATAGTCTTCAGTTAATTTTTTTTTCTAACCCCCCCCCCCCCCTTCCTTCCAAACCCCCCCCCCCCCCCCCAAAAAAAAAAAGCACCGTCCCAGGTCCCAACACCGACACCTTATACACCTGCCTACCCCATGAACATGAATTCGCTACCAGTACAGAGCAAAAAAATGTTTTCTTAAGCCCAAAGACGAATCTCCCCCCACCAAAACAGCGGGTGGTATCTATGCGTTTGAATGGTGGCAATT